ATTAGTAAATATTGAATAAATAAAAATGCAAGAAATCAATTTAAAAGCTTTAAAATTATAGAAAATACTTATATACCCCCTGTAAATTGGGTAATAGTGCAGAATGACATTTGAAAGTATATGGAATACTTTATAAAATATGAGGAAAAAATTGGGTATCAACATATAGACATACATAAACCCCTCTCTGGAGTAGGTAACTCGTTCTACCCCATCTGGAGCGAGAATTTCGACATTGGAGCAGTTGTAGAAGGGCGAATGGAGGACGGTTACCTACGGAGTGGCCAAAACCTACTGCTTTGAGAATTTTCAGGTGCATTTTGCTCTTGGAGATCGGATGCGGTGCGGAGATGGAATTGTATAATGGTGTTAATGGTTAAACGTTCAGACTCAACGTCAACCTCTCTGGCTTTGTTTTTCTGTGGTCCTCCACCAAAGATAAGACCAGTGTTTCCAAAGTTAGCGATGAAAGAAGACATGATGGTAAAAGATCAGTGAAAGGGTTCTTGCCGAGGAAGTTTAATGTTCTAAGAAAACTCAGAAAGGGAGAAAAAGATTATGAAAGTAGTGAAAGTGAAGAAGTAAAAATTATGAGTAGTGGAGAAGTTATAGACGACAAAAATAGTGGTCATGATTACCTCGAAAATTGGCGAAAATACTTAACGTGGCAACACATATTCGGAGTATTAAATGCGTGGAGACGTGTGTCCCTTCAAATGTTAGAGACCGTTCAGGAACTTTCCCCCCAAGAGAAGAATTATCATCTACTTCCCGGTAACACTGACTTGCGTCACTGGAAAGTAGGAAGACTATATGTATGGGGTGAAATTGGTTGATAACAAGTGGTCAAATGGCGAGATGACACGTGGAACTAATAACAGGCAAAAGATAGGTCAGCAAAAAACTGGTATCGGGTACGAAGGGTGTAACCGGTACGGGATGAATTCTGAAGGGAACATAACCGATAATAGAGATTCAAAGGTTTGACATTGGGTAGTATTCAGTAATTACAGAGAATATCTATATCCAAAGCCAACCGTTATGCACCCATCATTGATGTTTTTATTTTCATTCAAGAGGAGCTTGATTTTAGGATCTTGTCCCCTTAAGTAGAGGTTATAAATAGCAAGATTAGCAACCATTGTTGGACATGAAACATTCTGTACACAAAAGCTACAGTCTACTATTTTACGCTCAATCTAAACAACTTTATCACTGCTTTACCATTGCTTCTGCTTTTGCTCTCGAAAAGACCGAGTTCGGATCAGGCTTGTTATCTCCTTTTATCTCAGTCATTAATCTTATCTTTGTTCCTATTTCTTTATCATTTCTGGATCAAGTCGATTCGTTGATCTATAAACTACGCTATAAATTCAACTACACCGTTTTACGGGTAAACAAGAAGATGTTAGCCACGTATTTATAATGTGTTACCTTGAATTTTATTGTAAAAAATACTATTTACCAATATAAAAAATTTAATAGCTTAATTCAAGGTTCTAAAATATTTCTATTGTTAAAAAATAGACAGTCTTTCTTTCTACTTTTATAAGGATTTTGTATTCTTTTTTTCCCTCTAATTTCAATATTGTTTAAGAAAAAATAAGATAGAAAATTCCAAACAAAAAATATATTTGGGGCCCTAAAATTTAGAGGGTCTAAAGCAAAGAATTTACTAGCTTACATATAGCACCATTAATTTATATTTGACAATTTATTTCATTTGATGTTGTTAAGGCATATCAATTACTGTATGGGAATAGTAAATAAACTTTGTGATAGTGGTATCACTCCCGTTATTGTTTTTCATGGAGGGCATCTTGCTATCAAGAAAAATGTGAAGGATCAACGAGCAAGGTAACATTTGTTCTTTTTTTTTTAATGAACTAGTAAGATTTTTTTATATTCAACCTCAAATTTCTATTCAATTAAAAAAAAAATCAGTAAGAAGGAAAAAAAAATTGAAGCGTGCAAGAGACCTTCACTCCAAAGGAAATGAAGAACAAACTAAGAAGCATTTTAGAGACGTGATTCATATATCACCTAAGGATGCTCATGATCTAATAAAGGTAACGAGAGTCCACTTGATTTCACTAATGAAAAACAATAACTTTTGTTCTCCCAATATAATATTTGCATGTGAAGCTCTTAAAAGAGGCAAATGTTAGATACATTGTTGCCCCGTGCGAGGCGGACGCACAAATGACATATATAGTAGATGTTGCTATTACGGACGACTCAGATTTAATAGCTTTGGGGTCTCCGAGGGTAACCATCTATCCATTTAGTCTCGTCCTGTCTTACAATAATTATTTAATGGATCATTTTTTTGTTAACTACTTGTGTCACTGATTTTGTACTTAAATGTGATCAAACTAGATAATATTACCGTTGAAAAAGATAGGAAAGGAAAGGAGTATTTATACTCAAACTGGTCAAAGATGAAAAACATAAAGGTTTCACAAAGTTGTGACTATATGAAAACAAAGAATGGTTTAAGCATCATAGGAACCTCATGAACTTATAAAAGAGCTTAAGAGCTATGACAAAGTGAGTTTACATTAGAAAAGTGTTTCAGATTTTAATAAGGGACCTTTGTTTTGTGCCTATATTGTAGTTATCCTACAAAATATAGTGTTTATTTAGCTACGTATTTATAATGTGTTACTTTGAATCTTATTGTATAAAACGTTATTTATCAATATAAAGATTTGAGTAGCTTAATTCAAAGTTCTAAAATATTTTTATTGTTAAAAAATAGATAGCTTTTCTTTCTACTTTTATAAGGTTTTTGTATTATTTTTTTCTTTTTTCTATAAACTTCAATATTGTTTTAGCCAAATAGATAGAAAATCCACAACAAAAATATTGGGGCCCCATAATTTAGGGAAGCAAAGGCTTTACTAGCCATCCTTGAGTCGCTCCTAATCTCCCAACAGATGGCAATATAAGTAGTGTGTCGGGTCATCTTACCGATCATACTTCTTGGCTTAGTTTCCCACCATTCCTCAAGTATACTCCTCAGGTGTGCTACCCGTTATCCCCCATGGTGCACCAAAATAATTCCATACATTTTTGCCTATATTACTGGGGAAATTTGAAGAGCATATTCCTTGTGAATATATTATGAAAATTGCTGTTAATTTTGTGATTTAATATCGAAACTAAAATTATTATTGAATATTCGTCAGGGGTGGACGTATTACGGTTCAGTACTTCGATATCTTGTATATCAATTGTTCATACCAAATACCGTACTCAAGTAGTTCGGTACGGTTCGATATTTTCCTATTTGGTTCGGTACGATTCGGTATCACACCGTCCCCTGTCTAACATGACAAGAAGTGGCACTGGCCACTGATGATTCGGTGAAGCTGTTCATCCATGGAACAGCTCATGAACATTTCATGAAGTTCCTACTTAGAATCCCAAGCCTAAGGGATGTAAAACTGAGAGAAGATTATAACTATCCGGCGCCAGAGAATGACATAAGTACAGAAATGAGGTAGCACTAAACAGACGCCATATTTGTGATTGATGCAACGAACAAATAATATTGTACAAATTTCCAATATTTAATTGTCCTTGGTTTATTCCTAATCGATGCAAGGAAGAGATACTGTTATGCAACTTTCCAGTACCCAATTCATAGAGTATATTCCTGGGGTAGTGTAAGAAATGGGAATAGTTAAATAATTCGGTATTTCGGTATCGAAATATTGAAACCTCAATAACGAAGGCCGTATCTAAATATCAAAAAATTAATATCGAATTATACTGAAATACCGAATAAATCGATACCGAAATACCGAGTTAATTTGATCCGGTTCGGAATTCGATTTTTCGAATTTTATGCCCACCCCTAATATTCGCCATATATTTTTGTGATAATTCTTTAAAAAATTAAAAATCAACAATACTAAATCAAAATCTTTCAAAATCGTACCAAACCGACCAATCAACACCATATCGATCCATTCCCAAGTAGTTAGACAAGGAGCATATTTTCATAATTTAATGGATGAGTACTAATGGATGTTAAATTCTAATAACACGAGAAGAATATTAAAAAGTCCTCGAGTTGAGCTTACATAATAGTTTCTACATTTCTAGTAAGGTTTTTAAAAGATTTTAATTTTAAAGTGATTTGAGAACGTATCCTCATTTAAAAAAAAAAAAAAAAAAGGAAAAAAATTT